CTATATAACGAGTTCTATGCCATCCAGGGCTATGTAGTAAGGCTTGTCTCAAAAGTCCAAAACCAAGAGAAAACAAAGAAAAAATCCAAACCATGTAATTGATAGGTTGCTTTGTGATCCATGACCTGTGAGGACCCACTGAGCCATATCCGGGTGAAGGGCTGTTGCCAGAGGTGAAACTGGAGAGTAGCCATCCTGTTGGCTCATAGCTGTCCCTGCACCACTTCAGGCTGCTGATGTTCACTCCCACACTGTTGCTATGACTCAAGATGTCACTTCTAGGCACCCTTAGGTTGTGGTGCCACAGGGGTCTGTCTTGTGTTTTCTTTTTTCCCAGTTTTAGACCAGACTTCACTAAGGCAAGGCTTGAGGGAGGCAAGTTTTCTCAGGCACAGATTTAGTTGGGTTAAAATAACTCTAGTAGCCTTGCAGGTTTTCCAAGAATAGCCTTATTTTGCTTGAGCTCAGGCTAGTCGTTCTGTTGTGAAGATGCTTGGCTAAGTTGTGCCTCCTGTCCCAAACTCCTGCTAGCCCTGCCCAGGGGAGAGGCTGAACAGCTTGCAGTGGTCACCTTTGCTCTCCTTAAGTGAGCTGCCCACAAGGTCTCCGCCCAGCATGTGCAAAAGTCTTTGGCTTGTCAGATAGTTAAGTCCAAGGCAGCAGTCCCCTTTCCACCACTAGGACTCGGGAAGCTGAAAGGAAATGAGAATGGTAAGCCTTTCTCCAGCCCGCCTGTCCCCCCAGACTTTCTCCTTGAGCCTCTGTTCCCTTCTACCAGATCTCATCTCTCCTAGGAATCCTTTCATCTCAATGTCTTTGGCAGCTACTCTTCACCCTGTCTTGGCCTCTTTTTCCCATCTCTTAAATTTTAATTATCTTTAGTCAAAATATGCATAACCTGTGACATCCCACAAGCTCCTGGCTTCCTGCCTTTCTTGGCCTCCTTACCCTTTTGCTTGCTTTTCCTCTCCCATTTCAGGCTCTGCCTCTCTCTTTTTCCTAGACTATTTTTGTGGGGTCTATGTGTGCTTCTGTCTTTTATCCTTGTTCTTTGAAATACACAGAAGGAATTATGTTGAATGATAGAGCAAGATCATGTTAAAAGCGAGCCATTATTATCACAGAGATCATTTTAGAAGCGCCTAAATGGAAATTTAATGATATAGGTAGTAAGTGGTGAATGATGCTTTACCGAGCATACCATTTTGTCAGTTCCATAGCGTTTATAGAAGAATTTCAGCCAACACTCTCTCCACTTGTTTTTAAGATCTTTATAAATTCTAAATAGCAGTAATAAAATAACCTGGAGAGAAGTCTCTTAGAAATTCATTTAAAGTCCCTGTGTTTGAAAAGGCAATTGTGTGGCTCCTGGCAGCTTTAAGAGGGTAGCTGTCCCCAGATTGTGCTACCAAGGACAGCCTGTCAAAGCCTCTGGAGAGCTGTTGGTATGTCAACATCAGAGCTCAGCAGGGGCCTTCAAGGCCCTGAAGTAAGTTGTTCACCCTGCATAAGTGCTGTGTAATGCTCCAGCTTCCTGGAATCATTGGCATGGGGAATTTGGAGTGTTGGTGCCAAGGTTTGATGGTTGCTTGGTGCTCCGAGGGGTACAAATAGCATGTGGTTCCACTGTGAACAGGAATCACAAGATTCCCAGCTCAAATGAATCCCCTGTGGCATCATTTTAAAGACCCCTTGGAGGATGTGATGGCAGGTTTTGCATCTCTAGTTCATAGATAGCTTGAGAAAGGTTTTATTCCATGTGTCCTAACTAACTGTGCTTAAACATATGCACGTGTGCATACACTGTTTGGCTAGCTCTAGCATAAGGGATAAAAAGAATGTCCCTTATACTCAGTTTCCCCTTCCTTGGTGTTTCTAACTACATACCCACCTTAGTGTAGACTTGCTTACTAAGAGAACGTTTCAAAAAGCAACAGTACAAGATGTAGCAGTGTTACCCCTTATCCCTAGTAGGAGGGAAACAGTGTGTGGTGAGGTAACTCAGAAGGCTTGCTTAAGCATCTCCCAGAGTGGGGTGTTAAGAAAAGTAGAGCAAAGGCTTTGAGGGCTGGAGATGGCCCTTGAGTTTCAGGACAACACTTTTCTTCACCTCTTCCATAATAAAAATAATAATGGACTATCCATCATCACCTTGCCCAGAATCGGGCGTATGAAGGTGGAATGAAAGATAAGAGCAAAGCAGCCACTGTCACAGGACTTGGTGACATGAGAAAGCAGAGTCAGAAAGACCTTGTGTGTCTTTCTTACTATGTCATCAAGGACAGCGTTTTCTGACCCTCCTGGGACCCTGGTTTCCTTGATTATAAAATGAGGTTTACATCCTCTGCTATGACTAAATTTCCAGCTACTATTAGGCAGTTCACAAAGGGAGCTTGTATTATTATTTTCATTCAAAGAATGAAGTAAATTGTTATTCCATTAGATTGTAAGGCAGCTATCAAAAATTAGAATATGCATTTCTTATAATTTTTCATAATTGATAAAGTTGTTCAGACTAATCCATTCAACTTCAGTGTGCCTTTGTAAAGTTCCTAAACAGAAGACACTTTCACCAAATAAGAGAATAGTTGGTTTTTTTTTTTTAATCTTTTTGAGACAGAGTCTCCCTGTAGCCCCATCTGGCCTGGAACTTACCATGTAGATGAGGCTGGCCTCAAACTCACAGTGATCCACCTGCCTCTATCTCCAGAATGCTGGGATTAAAGGTGCGTGCCACCATACCAGGTTTAAGAGACTAGCTTTAAGAGTATCAATCATCAATCACCACTTGGGAGACAGAGGCAGGCAGATCTCTTGAGTTCAAGACCAGCCAGGTCTACATAGTGAGCTCTAGGGCTACAAGGAGACCCTGTCTCAAAAAGACCAAGAAAAAAAGAGTCATGCAGTCTCTGCGTTGCCCTACCCCTCGCCTTCTTTCTTCTCTTCTCCAAAGTACTTAGGCTTCTCAGGCTGTTTTTTTCCTCAGAACGATGCTCCATTGTCTTCTAATAAGCCCCTCTAAAATTCCACATTAGAAACCTCTGGGGAAAACAGTTTTTTAAAAAGCTTAATCTTAACATTAAAAATATACTTGAATACCATCCCTTCACTCATACTTTGCTTCTAGCCTTAGGAACCAGGTGGTAGTTATAAATTCACCTCCTCACCATCTGCTGGTAGGCTGTCATCTTCCATGACTCAAAGAAGTTTAGAGTTCAGGGTTAGGCTTGGTTTGAAGTGGTGATATGTTGGTTTCTAAACTGACTTTAGTGGTTTTTTTTCTCGTCAAGTTCCCCCCAACTAAAGCTGATTTTTAGTGTTCTTTGATATCATAGTACTTTATGAGTACAATAAGTCCCTCA